GAACAAGGCGTCTGCCTTGCAACCCGGAGGTTGTGAGCTGTAGCTTACGCAGGAAATGCTCTTAGGCGACCCCCTCATTATCCATATCCTTTCGCACAACTGATGGTGTTTCAGTGACAGTGAAGCATCGGTAAGGCATACCGGAGTACTGATGATGTCTACTATAACCTACTACTAGACCATCCAAACAAATGTATGCGCTAGCCTCGAAAAGCCACGCACCCATGAGCAGGATACCATGAATGACACTGCGATATTTATAAAAGAATCGGTATGTGAGGAAGCGGCAGAGGCAAGGGCTTCAGTTAGTAATATGTCCATTTACAAAACTGAAAGGGAGTGCTTTATGGAAGAATTTTTTGTTGAAAACATTAACCGACAACATTTTACTGCTTCCTAAACATGAACGCAATACATTCTTACCATTTCTGGTTTATCAAGGAAAGTGACAAGTGGAATAGATAAACAGGCTGCAGTAAACACGGTCATCATGAGGTTTACAGTCTTTATTCTAAGTAAAGTGGCTCAAGGCAATACTAGTAGGTACACTGTCATTTCGTGACGTAACATTCAGTACTTCAGTCTCTGAGTTAAATGGAAACCAATAGGGGAAAGAAACCGAGCTGTTTGCTTGTTTAGTTCACCTTCACTAATTCGGCCATGTCCACATCGCGGCTCTCCTGTCCACATGGGAGTCAAACAGGTGTAACAAACCGACTTGCTATATCCAATTTGCTATCCTACTTCTGTTATGTTCACATTTTATTCCGTCACGATTAACAAAGGAATGCTGATAGAGAGAGGTCCTTTTTAATCGTAACTATTTCCCAACGCTTAGTTATCACTGCGTAACATAAAAATTAGGATATCGGCAGACTTCAGTTCGTTTCATCTTTTCTCCTGTACTTGCCATATACGCAAATACATGTGTCTAATTCTATTGCTTTATTCATATAAAATACCACTGTATGATAATCTCGTAATCAAACCGCATGTTCTTAATGCGCACTGAATACCAGGCAATGTTGACGTGGGTTCTAAAAGGTTCGACCAAAAATGCCATATCCCTTTTATTAAGCTTTTGCTTAAGTTTCTCTGCTGACCTATCGATGTACCGACTATACATGACCTCTTCTTTTTGTTAACATCGGTCATTTCTTCATCAACATTTTCCAGTGGTGGCATTCCCGAACGCACTGGACGGGACACGAGCATTCGAAAATTCCACCGAGATTGATAGAGCTCAAGAAAGGAAACAAGTCGTAATATCATGAAAAAAGCGAAGAATATACACTTGCTTTCAGTATGTTGATACCCATGCCCTATACCTCAAACTTTGCACTTGGATATATTTAGTTAACATAACGCAAGAGTATGAAATATCAAGAACAAAAGACCGAAGGTAAACAATTGTTTTCGATGATTCATCTTCAGACCCGTACAATCGTATGATGTGCTGTTAACTAGAAGGGCAGACGGCTCGATCCAACGGCAGGTCTACAGGAAGAAAACCTGGAGTGGACAGTATACGAACTTTTACAGTTTCGTTCTGTTGAGATATAAACGAAACCTAATTCGCTGTCTAACCACAAGGGCCCGCAGGAATTGTTCTCAAGACAAGTTGGATAATGAGTTCACGTTTATACAGAATTAGCTGCGAGAAAACGGATATCCTGAACGGTTCATTTTTAGGAACATGGCAACTAAGCCCGACCTTTTGCAGGTTCAGACAGCAGAGAAAAAAAACTTTTCATACGACTACGCTTCAAGAGAGACGCCGCTGCTGAGCGTGTAACTAAAAGCCTTTCAACAGCTGTCAAGTCAACTTTCCCAGCAGCCAAGCTTAGGTGTACCTTTTCAATGGAGCCACTCATTCGTATTCACAACAAAGACAAGTTACCGACGCTGACCGCTTCTTTGGTAATTTATCAGTTTGAGTGCGCCTGTGACGCTACTCACATCGGTCGAACTACGCGGCAACTGTCGAAGAGCATTAAGGAGCCCCTAGCACGCTGGATGCGTCGAGGGTGCACTAGGACTATAACTAACTCTGTTATGGCTCATCTTGTTGATAGTGGGCATGAGGTTGACCCAATCAATGCCTTTCGAATAGTAATCAGTCGAAAGGCTTGCGCCTCCGCAACCTTGTTACTGTTGAGGCGATCAGTATTCGGTTTTATCAACCGCTTTTGTGTGCACAAAAGAAGATCACCGAAGCTGTTAAGCTACCTTGGCCAGCCAAAACGGATCCTTCAGAGAGCAACTATAATTGTGCAACAGCACCTCTGTCCTAGTTTGCCGTTTGTTACTGGTTCATGCCTTTGGTCGGCACGTGATCAATCTCATTTGAACTGGTCGTTAATCCACTTTTACGCCCATTGCTATTTCACTCATATGATTGTACGGGTCTGAAGATGAATCATGGAAAACAATTGTTTACCTTCGGTCTTTTGTTCTTGAGTATGAAATATGTGTATTACACAGGATCTGACCTTGCTTAAGATTTTTTGCTCGTAAAGTCGAGAAATATACCCTTTATTTATTTATACACAAAGCCAAGCTGCTTTGTCTGACTGCAGTTCGGTTCCCTTGAGTGCCTCAGCTTCCCCGGTATTGCGTACACACGCCAAGAGTGATGTTGATTTGGACACCTACGGATACATTATGGAGCCATTGGTGCATTATAACTCATGTAGAAAATTGTTAGGAAATGGAAAAACTGAAATATTTTGAGCCCACTAGTCTATAGTGACGAAGATGAGAGTTATCCATATATAGCGCAATGTGAAAGGCAAGCAATCACCACCACCCTGCTGGTGAATAAGAACCACCAATGATAAGCGCTAAAATAATGTAAGTGCAGGATGTCTTGGTGAGGGCTATCGATTCGCCAGTCTATGTGAGCCTATTCGAATCGGTAGCAAGGTGGGGAAAGGCGATCGCGATTCCAAGTCGAAGAGGACACGAATGTGTTCCCAGTTAATTGAACAATCACAACAGGCGAACGATGACGGATGCCGTAGATTCTCTAGGTGCGTGATATAATTAAATATTTTGGAAGTATTTTTCCAGCATATCTGGGGGTATATTCGAGCTGCTACAAGTGTATACAGCTCAGTTGTCTTTGTTGAGTATAAATATGACCAACATCTTTATCTCTCTCCACCACAATCAATTGGTTCAACTGTCTGGTTCTACTAGTACAATGTTTTAACACCAGTATACATGTATCGCTAGGAAATATATATAGCGGTTCCGATGAAAAGCTGCAGCCTATTGTAGATAGCCTTGAAACATACGCGCAGTCACATTCAAATAGGCTACTTAACATCCGATTTGTTGGCAGTAATTCACGCTGACCCACTAGGACTCATTGGTCCTGACGCATCGCAACCATAGTCACATATCGTGTCTGCACAGTATTTTCTATGGGGCCACACCACCGAGTTTCGGTCTCCACCGTCATACTTCCTAATTTTATCACCGCAATAGCGCCAGCGATTTTATGCCTGGAGTTAGACACATTAAATACATTTGCAATCCTGACAGGAACCTCGAGAGTACGAGAGATTTTACCATTTCGGATTAGTATACGGTCTAGTTAAGCAAAAGGCATCACTTTCATCATAGTGAAGTTATCATATTTAAGACGGAATCCTGGTTTGAAATAATTGAGAATATCCGTAGCTCGGGGTGTGAATGGGATCGCCGATGTCTGGTCTGGTAGCCGAGGCAGTGATGTAGGCGCTGGAACAAATAGCACTTCCGATCGCGAGACCAAAACTTTGGGTGCGATACGTAGACGACACCTTCGTCATGCTCAAACGTTCCGAAATGGAACAAACACACGAACTAATCAACAGTATGTTCGATGGAGGAAAACAACGAGCAGTTACCATCCTTAGACGTTCTCATACGACAGACTGGTGCTGAACGATTGGAAACAACAGTATACCGAAAATCTACGCATACGGACCAGATCCTCAACTACGGCAGCAATCAGCCGGCAGCCCACAAAGGTAGCTGCGTGCGAACCCTTTTCAAACGAGCACAAACCCATTGTAGCACACCACAGCTGAGACGGGCTGAAGAAGACTATCTCTTCAAGCTACTCGAGCGGAACTCGTACCCAAAAGGCATTATTCTGAAATGGCAGCGAGGCTTTTATTGCCTTTTGGAGTCAAAGTTGTATACCAGCCAACGGAAACAATTCGCAGTAAACTCCTCAAAGTGAAAGATAAACTTAGCAAAGAGGAAGAAACTGGTGTGATCTATAAGATCTCCTGCCGGAAATGCGACAAATACTACGCGGGACAGACTGGAAGAAAGCTTGGCACAAGGTTAAACGAACACAACCTAGCCATTCATCGCCACAATCAGAGCTCCCTGATGTCAGTGAATATGGATGCCGAGAACCATCAACTCGATCTAGAGCACGCCAGTATCCTCGGAAGGGCTAAAAGCCGGCAAGCACGTGAGTTCATGGAAGCCTGGCATTCAAAGCAGAACTCGATCAATAAGCACCTGGACATTGAAGTCGCTTACGAGGCATTGCGAACCAGGTCCCTGAAGCCGCACTGATGATGTTGCCTAGTCAGGCAACGAAACGTCTGTACAATAAGCACTCAGCTCGGAGAACAGCTCAAAATCCGCACGGAATCCTGGCGCTGTGAAATTGCAAACAACACTCAATAACTACGAAAAGCGCCCAGATGCGAAATTGAGTGAACGAAACCGGAAGTTCCAACTATGAAGATTCACAAGTGAATAAATGGAGTGACTACCTGTTGATTTTGTTGCAACCGCATGCAATTCCGTCATGAAGTACAGAGCTAGGAAATTTTCAATGAAGCAATTCCCTCTTTCCCAGCCAGGCTCTTTATAGCTCGCCTAAGTTACCGAACTATAATACCACAAATCGTTAGCTTCTCGAATAATCGGGCTTCATAGAGAGGAAGCACCACATTTGGTAGAGAATCAAAATCTACTCTAAGCAGCTTCTCAGTCATGGGAGAGCACAAAACCACACACGCATGTGCGAAAATACAGCGGGAATGTGGCCGTTGCAGTGTGAAAAGTGGTTGTTTTAGACCTCAGGGACAATCACTGTTTAATATGAAGGCAAGGCGAGTGAAAGGCGCTCAAGGTTATCTTTTCCATTAATAACAAGTGGCATATAACTCTTGTACACAGCTTAGTGTACGAAAATCATCAGAAAACTACAAATATACTTCCAGCAGAATTCCCAGTTTTTTCTATGTACAAAGTGGACCAATAGTTAAGGAGATCACAAAACAAATGTTCTCCGGCTGCGACCGACTTCGCTTCGCTTAAACACCCACTCATAATCCCCAAACTGGCTATCGAACGTTCCCAACTGGATGGAACGTAGTTTCAATGTGAAGCGGGGTCCGACTTCGTTCATGGAAATATGGGGTTTTGCTGGTTCCTTGCTGTTTTCGTCCCCAGCTATCATACGCTGCTGATATCGGTAATGACGGAAAAATATGTAATCGCGCTGGTTGTAAAAGACCACCGTGCGACTGTGAGCTTCAGGAGGATTCCGACTTTGTTCCGGAAACATGGCGCTTATAAGACGTTCAGTGCGGCGACCCAGACGTGTGGTGAAGCGAGAGGTCAGTAGGTGTGGCACAACATTCGGCTCGATGTCACGCATACGTCTGCGATGGCGTCCGCGTAGTTCACGTCTCAAAATGACGTTTGATAGCCGGAAGGTGATGGTTGGACCATGAGGTAGATGAGTGACTAACATGGTATTGACCTTCTTGGCGTCTTCATTGACCACGATAACCGCAGTGTACCCATACTCAATGGCTTTGGGGATTAACTTCTTCAGTGGTAAATGCCATCGAGCGGCCAGGCGCGAATTCGGGATAATCTGGAGAGAAGGTGCGTAAAACAACGCGTTACTTCGGAAGTCAATATTCCAAACTGAATACCGAACTAGTTAGAAACACGCGAGACGTATCCATATAATAAGTCATGAAAATACCGTCACCAAGAGAAAAAGTACCGGAGTATGAGGGTCTAACCTAATTGAGATAAACTGGCGAAGCATTGTATTCCAGCAAATTTAAACTGTAATTCTGCGGAGCATTGGGCTCCTGTTTGAGAAAGGAACAAACGAAAAGCGTATGAACTGAGCAATCAGTCACCGATTCCCAATGGGCGCGATTCCCTGCATTTGCTCCGCTGCCTTGCGGGCCAAAGGCTCTGGGTGGTGTCCCCTAAGTCAACACCCTACTTCGGCTTGGGCAACCGGGTAGTATCTCGCCCTCTGACGAAACCATGGACTTTGATGTGTTGCGTTGTGTTTTCTTTTACTATTTCTGTACCTTCTTTTGAGTCCCATGGTTTCTGATGGCTTTAGGTCTAATCGTAAATATATAAATATATAATAAAACCAAACCAAAAACCAATGATAGTCCTAAGGGATCCTAAATGTTTGCTAAAGAAAGAGTACAGCAATTAGATCAAAAAAAATGAAAAGATATCAGCGGTACGCGGGTAGGCAGTGTCCACATTTCGCTGCCACGGAACCACCAGCAGTCGTACGTGGGCTAAGGGCAGTGCAACGGTCGCTACGCAGACTAGAACTCGCATCCTCGAAGTACAAGGCAGACTTGTGATTCTTCAGGCTGCGGGTTGGCCAAAAAATGAAAAAACGAATGTCAAAGCGGAGCTTAAGATAAGTGCCCTGGCCGGTTGAATATTGTGTTAATACCATAGAAAGGTTAGTATATGATAGTGAGCGAGGATGTAGCCCAGATAAAGAAGAATCAGAAGACAGTGAACCGGTTGGAGGTCGGGATATATACACATCGAAAAACACCTTAAGACTAAAATTGAGTATACCCTGTTAAGTATGCAAAATCATTCTGATTGGACAGATCGTTTGTCTTCACAGGACCGGCCTTTGCAGCAAATGCGAACTGGTGCACAACAGTTCTGCAGGGTAGAGCAAAATAGGGGCAGTGGGAAGACTTAAGGAACCAGAAATGGAGAACAAACTACCATTCTTGGATGTATTGGTTACTAGAACAACGGACGGAGAAGTACAAACATCAGTTTACAGGAAAGACACACATACAGATCAAATATTAAATTTCAACAGCAACCATCCAAAATGTCACAAAATCAGCTGCATACGCACCTTGTTACGCAGGATAGAATCACAATGTAATACTGCAGAAGCAAAACGCGAAGAAGAAAAACATTTGTTTACATCCTTCATGCGTAACCGATATCCACGCAGCTTCATCCGAAGATACATGAACCACAAGAGTACAAACACCACATCTGAACCAACAACAACGAAACGGATCGCTTTACCATACATCAAAAACGTATCGGAACTGACTGCTAGACTCCTCAAGCCTCACCAACTGTTATTGGCTCACATACCCACCAACACTCTGAAAGGAACCCTGTCTAGACCGAAAGGGAATACGAGAGCACACGAACGCCGGAACGTTATTTACAGGATACAGTGTAAAAATTGTGATAAGAACTACGTGGGCCAAACGGGAAGAAAATTGTCTACAAGGCTACAAGAACACAAACGAGCCTGTCGAAACCATTACCCATCATCCTTGGTCTCGACACACGTTGATGAAGAAGGGCACATGTTTGCTTGGGAGAAAACGGAGATACTAGCGCAAGGAGAGACCAAAAAAGGAGGAGAATTCCTTGAAGCCTGGTTTTCTACAGTCAGTTTAATAAACCAACGCATCGATTTAGATCCGATATACAGGCAGCTGCGAGAAAAGAGTTTACGTGGATCATCTGGCACATGAGTCGGAAAGAGGTGGCGCTCGAACTGGGAATTAGCAATGGTCAAGGGATCTGAATCGAAGTGAGTAAGTTCAAATGTCACTCGCTCGTCGGTAAGAATCGACAAAACAACTCAGTTTGCTTTTAACGCACTGAAGAAGTCACCACGATTGGTGATGAAACGTTTACAATGAAACTGTTCAGCTCGGAGAACAGAACAAAATCTGAACTTAAGGATTAGGCGATAATGTAAAAACAAGACGATTAACACCGCTAATGAAGCCAAACGTCGTCAAATTTGATGGTTCCGTCCTACAGCATGTGTAAGCGTTAGCAGGTACCTGGTCGCTCAAATACGACAGCATTGGGATGTTTATCCACCCGCCTTACCTTTGGTCATGCTATCGGGTGCACACGCGCGGTGTTCACCATTCACAATTTAGAAAAGTATCCCCACGTGAAATGACCCTAAAATCCGCAAAGGAACATTAAACATCTAAATGGAATCGTGCACTGTTTCCAACGAATGAAGGTAAAACGAGTCGAACGTAACAGGAGAAAGGTCCACGAAATCGTCTGTCCGCCAAGTCCGAGTTGTAAGACTTTTGGACCTCTCGTTTGCGTGAGTTCAGCGCGAAGAACGGTTCCGTTGGGAGGATAAATCCAGTGTCCCACAGGAGTTGGTGTTGTTGAAGCGAAAGAGGATGCTTAGTTGAGGCTATCTCCCGATGATAATAATAATAATGAGAATAATAATAATAATGTGTCAGCTGTACGCCGTAACGGCGCTTCGCTGCCATCAGACGCACGCGGGCTGAGTATATCGCGAGGACGCCCACGCCTACGAGGGATCGAACTCGGGCCGTAAGAGTACGAGACAAGCTCGTTACCTCTAGGCGAGGCAATCACAACGTTTATTCGGCCGTGGCCCACTTTTAAGCCTTTCTATATCTCATGATCACCCACCCTTCATCATCACAATTTCAGCAATTCGCAATGGTTAACAAACGTAAATCTGTGATGTCCATGGTCATATCGATACCTTCTTTGATGGTTAAAATTTTCAATCTTTGTATCACTGCTGTTTCCCTTGTAAACTTCCTTTTTTAACTTGCGCATTCTCAAGATAACACCCACTGTGCGGCAACATCAATTTACTGGTTTACAAAACAAAAGACCCCATTAATGTTTGAAATTATATTTATTTATTGCTGGCTTTTAAGCCTAAGGCATGTCATCCATTAGGTGTCGTAACTTCGTAACAACGTTTATCGAAGTATTAATGCGAGCCTTGAGCCCATTTATGTCAGGTTCCAGACTTGACAGCGAGAGTTGAAGGGCTCCTCTTGCTGTGATGTCCAATTTCTCCACTATTAGTTAGGGAAGCCACTCTGCTGTATCCACATTCAGCCAAGTATGTGGATGGAAATGCAAGGAAACATATTTCAGCCATTTCCCACAGTCTGGGCTATCTGTTAGGAGCATCAGACTTCATTCAAAAACCCTTTTTATATTGCGTGAATTTGGATTTTGCTAGTGTGTCACTTTGAAGCTCAAACATCGCAGGACTGTACATTAAATGGATCTAAAATCCAAATCGGTCTTTCCATGGCAATCGGATCACAAAATCTGTCTTTCATTTCTTTTCGGCGTTGTAAATGACTGGCATAAACAATCTAGTCTTCATACTTCAGCTCCTCCGTGACCGCAGCGAAAATTGGGAATTGTGAAAATTCCCAACGTCCGATGTTTTGAGCATACATTTCCAGCTTTTTATGATAAGCGCTGACGGTTTCCTTGCTTGAGATGAGACTACTCAACTTGCTTTGAATCCGTTTTTTCGGACTCTTACGGAGTGGAAGTTTACCTAAGTGGGCGACATAAGCTGATCATAGGAGCACATTGGGGGGGGGGGGGGTTGAGCTGCAAATATGTAGTCGGCTTCCGGATCCCAGTGCAAGCGGGTGCAAAGTTCGTGTGTTCGGGAACAGCTGTGCACCAGAAGCCCGTTCAGTTCTAGGGTGTAAATCAAAACGGCTCAAGAATATTCAGCGGTAAAAATTGGTCGTTTGTACACGTGTGGACGGCAATTGATTAGCGTACCTTGTCCATATTAGATCAGCCACCATAATTTTGTAGAGTGCCTGCCCGATTTTGCTCTGAATCAAGTTTGCGGTCCATTGTGGTCTCTGTTTCTGCGGTATTCGCTGACCAAAACTCCTTGTCCTGAGTAAAACCGAGGTGCTTGTTCTATTCTGTTGATTGCAGGTTTTTCATTTTGAGGTTTTATTTCTGCAGAACATTTCTAGTTGAAGGTAAAAAGATGTATAAAGTTTGAATTTTCCTTCTAATGAACGCCTCTGCGGGAGGTAAGTTGTCTGACACCTGAGGGTTTGAGGTTAGTCTATACATCAGCAGGAAAGCATCTAATATCTCCTGTGTAGTTCCTTCTTCCCGCATTCTCGGTAACCTCGGTGCTGCTTACCCATCAGAAGTGAAGTGGAACGAAGTTGAACGCAAATGTGTGATACTAACTTGCACACAATAGCTGGCACACTAGAACGAAGTGAATTACGATGCAGTGTCCGTTACTAGAGTCTTCGGTACTCTACGCTGGCTGAAAAGGCTTCTCAATACTTTAATTGTTGTGTCACTCGTCGGTTACCCTATGCAGAACACATCACGCCACTTGCTGAAAGTATCCACAACAATGAGGCACTGTAGCTCATTCATAGGATCAAAGAAATCAGTATGTATGCTCTCCCACGGTTTCGTCGCCAACGGCCAGGAATAGAAATCTGTTTTTCTGGGTTGTGAGGACAAGGGAGAATCATGGACATGTCTTCACAAGCTGCTCGAGATCCGCGCCGGCATTTGGCCAGTAAGCGAAGTTCTTCGCAGTGATTGTCATTGTTCCGATGCCAATATAACCGCGATGAAACCGTTGTAGAATACTCGGGCAGAGTTCTGTAGGAATGACAATCAGTTCGGCTAAAAGCAAGCCTCCGTGACGACAGAAAGGTCACCATGTAACCATTTCTGCCAGAAAGCTATCTACGGAGAAACCAAATACTTATGGACGGGATCGGCTGGGTGTTTTACGGT